TATACACAAGTAGTTGAAGAGCTTAATTTTTACAAAATGAACACACCCATGAAACTACCACTCAAATCAAGACATAAAACATTACACCAGCACCCTTCAGGCCTCCCAGTCATAATCATCTTCCTAACCTCTATAAAGGTTATGATTATTTTGACTTCTATCACCACAAATTTGGAATCATATAAGATGTTCTTACATTTTTGGTATGTGTTCTTTAATGTCATGCTTCTTTCACTGAACACTGAGATTCAACCATGCTATTACTTGTAGTAGGAGCTTGCTCTTTTTCACTGTAGAATATTCCATTATATGAATATACATACCACTACTTTCTTTAACCATTCCACTGTTGGACATTTCCATTATTTCCAGATGGGGCTATTATAAATAACGCTATAAAAATTCTTGTGCATGTCTTCCAGTAAACATATGTATGCATTTCTGTAGAGTATACACCCAAGAGTGGGATGGAGGGTCATGGGGTATGCATATATCCAGGTACAGTTCTAAGCACTTTACATATACTAATGCATTTACTTCCTATCACAACTCTATGATGTGGGTGCTATCATTATATCCAATTTTTAGAGGAGGAAATGGAGGCATAGAGAAGTCTGTGCTCTTGAGCCAGCTGGCTAATGTTGCCTCTCTGTGAGGTCCAGGGACCGTATCTGCCCTGGGCAGTACAGTATTCCTAGTACTGACCACAGTGTCTTATGTAAACGTAATAGGAGCTAAACAAATATTTTTTGAATAAACTATTAGATAATAACAGGAACATCCCTATCCTCAACAAGCCTTATTGTATCTCAAGTGAACTGAAAATTTTATTTTCCATTTTTGGACCTAAAGTGCAAGTCAGATGAGTTATCTCGACTTTTGCCATCTCTTAATGCTCTATAGTGTATATGCTATTGAAAAGGAAAATTGCTAAATTGCTAACCACACAAAAGTATCATTCCCAACCCCCTGGATTTTGCCCATTGAACCTTTAAATACATAAGTCTAGTCCAACAGATGAGAAAACAGACTCAAAAGTTAGGAGACTTGCCCAAGATCAAACTGATGTTGGAAAACTGGCACTAGGTTTCAAGTCTTATGTTAAGGAGCTATTTCCAATTTTGACCAGAATGACAAAGCAGTAGTACTCTGAAACTCTACTGGGGATAGATAAGTCCTGCTTCAAACTAATGCAAAAAGCAAAGTTATAGATAATAGCGTAACTTGGAAGAATTGAAAACACTTATGATTTAAAATTGAGAACCATTAAATTACAAAAGTAACTGAATTAAAAAGTCTTTCAAAGCCCAAGACTGGTACAATTAGCAAGGACAGTTTTAACATAAGTCACTTCCCCAACCGAGGGTATAGAAAACACTATAGAAATGGGACGTATTTGGGCGCCTGGGTGGCTCAGTTGGTTAAGTGACTGCCTTTGGCTCAGGTCATGATCCCGGAGTCCCGGGATCAAGTCCCACATCGGGCTCCCTGCTGAGCAGGGAGTCTGCTTCTCCCTCTGAACATCTTCCCTCTCATGCTATCTCTCATTCTCTCTCACTCTCAAATCTCTATCTCTCATTCTCTCTCTCTCAAATAAATAAATAAAATCTTAAAAAAAAAAAAAAGAAATGGGACGTATTTGGTCATTATTACTAAGAGATGAAAATCAAAATAAAGTTATCCCCAGTCTTAAATTTGGCAACTCCAAGCAAGTTCTCTGATAACCTATTCCTGTGTACTCCAACAAACTTAAATGAAGACAACTGGAAACTAATTCCATAGAGGTTGTCTGAGGGCATCTCTTTCTCACAAGTACCTTTCTAGCGATAATATTATATACTCTATTTACAGGACCAGTGTCTGTATCTCTTAAGAAAACTGCTCCTGAGATCACTGCAAATAGGTTTCCTCAAAGCATAACAGAACGAAAAGATTCTACAGAATGTTTCTACAGAAAGGAAACCCCCTACATGATCCAACTTCATCAGGTAAATATCAAAATTTTTAGAAGTATGAAAATGTTTATCAGTTGTAGGGTTCAATTCCTAACCCAGGGAAATGATAATTCACTTCTGGGGTGGGCATTTTCATCTCCTAATTAACCAAGGAAAGGCTAACTAATTGATTCATGAGATAAATCTGTGAAATTTTAATAACTCCTTTTATGGAATCTTCAAAATATGTCCATGTCATTCTAGTCTCCAAAAAATCCTGCCTGTAGTTGAAACGTGAAGATTTCTGATCTAAAAAGGTGTGTGTGGTTTGTTCAGAACTCTGCAAACCACTGAACCAAAGTTTTTAGGACTTAAAAAGCATGTGGTGATTATATGTATCTGTCATGAACATGCATACACACAGAGTTTGCATCTAAAGAGCTCACTGAAAATGTTAAATTCCCCAACAGAAAGTAGAGCTATGGAATAAATCTCCAAATCACCAGAACTACTAGAAAGAAGTATTTCTGAATGAACCCATCTGGATTAAGTATCCAGCGCGTGACTAGTAATTGGCGTTCTATTTGTATTTAAATGAAATACATAATATAACTTTCAGGTACTCTATTATCCCTGAGGTGAGACTAAATTTTTTATTTATTTTTATTTTTTAAAAAGATTTTATTTATTTGACAGAGAGAGAGAGCACAAGCAGGGGGAGCGGCAGGCAGAGGGAGAGGGAGAAGCAGGCTTCCCACTGAGCAGGGAGCCCAATGTGGGGCTCGATCCCAGGACCTTGGGACCACGACCTGAAGACGCTCAACTACTGAGCCACCCACGCGCCCTGAGAGTAAATTTTTTAGATCAGATTATACCTAAGACAAATACAATGCAAAAGTGATAGCAATCTCACCTTCTAGATTCCATGTTTTAGGAAGATAATGTGTAAGAGGTAAATTCCTTTATCAAAAAGGAAAAAAAAAACCCAACAGAATCCTGTTACTATTGTTTTAAAACAACTAAGTATTGAGTGGAAGGAGGTGAGGAGATAGAGCCTTCTGCAACAGACCACCACTTACAAGTGTACAGCGCATTTAACTGTACTGTGTATTAAGTTATGACAACTTATCTGGGTATCCAGTTTTAACATTCCTTGATTCAATGCCATAGAAAAATATTAGTTTTTAATCTTTGAATCCTACGGACTAGTTCAGAGTAGCAGAAGATTTTTATCTTCGAGACATTAGGGAATTTCATCATTCTTCCAATCAAATCAGTTCCTCTAAAGGGTGAGGACTTTTGCTAATTCAAAATTTTTAATTGGATGAATTTATGGGGGAGAACCAGTCTTCTCAGTGCACCTTAATGATTCTATGTCTACAAAACGAAAATCTTAAACAAATAGTTTTCCATTAATACATTCGTTCCCCAGAAACTACTGGGTTCCTTGCCGCTGTTATTGAAGGTCAATTTTCAAAACCAGTTTAACAAAGACTTATTTCAGATTAGCAGCCTCAGAGAATCCATTTATTATTGCTATTATCATATAATTACATTTTTATTGCTATCTTGTACTGTCCAATCCTTAATTCTTTCACATAAAAGCAACTACAGAAAAGTGCATGTAGCTAGAAATCAAGTTGTATTCATTAAACAAACAAACAAACAAAACAAACCGTTTTTCTTCTGGCACATATTTAAAGGAGAGACTGAAGATCCTCTTCCCTTCACAGAATATCCAAAATAACTTATCCTAAGAATGTTATAAACTAATGTTGCTCTGAACTACCATATAAGTAGGTTTTAGTTTGTTCTTGGATTATATATCTAATCTTCTCAAAAAATGTACAGTATTTTAAAACAAGATCTCTTTTAGGGTCAACCCACAATTATCCAGGACCAGAGTCATTCAAGTTAAAAATATTCTTTTTGATTCAACGCAGACTCTAAGTTACTCTCAGCTCTTTAAAGAAGTACATAAGACGTGAAACTAAAGTATTTGCCACTCTGAAAAGATCAAAAAGACTACTTGCAATCCAAGTTTGGTGAGGGGAAGCAGATCATTTGGAATGCATTTATACTTGTAGCTCCCATATTGCTGATAAATGTTACTGCCAAGTTCCTTAAACTGTTCTAAAAGTTATTGCTGCAGTATTGCCTTATGAAAACTTTGTAATACTTTCAGTGATAATGTCAAACCTACATTTATATCAAATGCCAGGTAATAAGAAATGGAAGGATCACGGAAGGCAAGTTATTTTTTAACTCAAAGGGATCTACCAATTTTTCCAAAAATCAATATGTATCTAGTCATACAGGAACTGCTCCCCTTTCCCTCTTTTAAATAAGTGAGTTACTTTTTGGCATCTTCTTACTACAACCTTTTCCTTCATTATCTGAAATCCGTGACTCTTTTGCAGATGCACTATTTCCTGTGACTGGTTTATTTTCAGTTAGTTTGTATGAGAACTACAACCGGGACTTCCTTTTGAATATCAACTAGCTCTATTTCCTGGGGTTTGAACTCTAGAATCCCTAAATTCTCATAGCTATGACTACGTTCACATCTACAATTTGCTCAAAAGCTCTGCCCTTGCAAACAAAAGCTTGTGGTGGTCGAAGGCTCCGCGAGAACACCTCAAGGTGTTGTAGGTCCTGGACCAGCAGCCACCCCACACAAACCTTCACAAAAGCAGCTCCAGGCTCTGCAAGATTAAAACGGGCAAGTAGTGGGAGAAGTCCCGATTCGGCCAACCCTAGCGAACCGGAGTCTTACAAATTGGCCAGACTCATGAGGGGTGCACACAACCGCAGAAGGGGGGAAAAGCCCCTAAAGAGCATCAAGGGTTTGGGGGGAGAAGCAAGTCCAGGGATGCAAGGTGGTGCCCGCGCACGCCTTGGCAACCTAGTTGATGCCACAAGCAGTTATCAATCCAAGCAATAGAGGTCGGTCTCCAGGCCCTCAGGCGCACAGGAGATCGCTAACTCGGGCCGCGGGAAACGGCTTGGGCTGAAGGAGAGAGAAGCACACGCGCCGCCACCCCCACCCCTCAGCCGGTTGCTCACCGGTGCTGCAGCCCCACGAGTCCCAGAGTGATCACATGCGGCACATCTAGCTGCGTGGGCCACTCTCCTGAGGCGATGCACCCGAATACGCCACATTCCTCTCGGATTCCCAACTCCTCCAGCTCCATGTCGCTGCCGAAAACACGTGGAGGGACCTGCCGCCGCAGCAGGGGCCTGAGCACCAACCAGCTGTCCGCTCGGCCCGTACGCCTCAGAGGCTCGCTTCCTTCCCCAGCCGCTCGACCCTCGCTACTGCGGCGGCGCGCGCTTTCCCAAAGCAAGCGTGATTAGCGCTCCCCCGCTGCACACCCTGCCCCGCCCCCTCAGGATGCACCAATGAGCGAGGAGGGAGGGAGAGGCTCCGTGGCTGAGAGGAGGAGTCACAGACGCCTGGGGTGGAGCTAGTCCTCCGCCGGATCCCTATGGGAAACTACTTTTTCTACACATGGCAATCTCCGTTATTTTCTAACACCCAAGACTGGGGTGATGAGAGTAGTAGTGTTAACGTCATTTCTGTCCCAGAGGATGTAAACTTTGTATGGCCCTCCTCACATGCTTTCCCCCGGCCGTCACTACTTGGTACGCTCCAACCTATGAACCGCTCTCGCAGCGGAGAAAGTAGCCGGTCAGCGAGCCTCTGTAGAATCGGGAGGGGCCGCCAGTGCGCGCCACTTTTCGCCTCTTCTGGAACAGCGCCCGCGCACAGGGGTGAAGGGGACGTCCTGTGTCTCTGCGCCTGCGCGGCGGGAAGCCTCGCGGGTAGAGCTAGCTCGCAAAATCGAAGTTGCTCTTGGGCGGCAGGGACCTCCGGGGTTCGGTGGCGGCTGTGTTGCTAGCGGAGAGCGCGTGTGGGCACTCAGGAATACTAGGCCTGGCCGGGGGTGTGTCTGTGGGCCGCCTTCCCTCCCCCGCCACGTGAGCCTCTCTGACCACTCCTCTTTTCCAGAGTCTTGCCAGTCTTCCCAGCGCGGCCGCTGCCCCCAGCCCACGCAGGATAATGGCGACAGCTGAGGGTGAGTAACAGGCGTCCCCAGGAATCTGCCGGGGACTCCCTGCCCTCCAGCCGCCGCCTCCTTGCCTGGAGGTTGCGGACTCGCAGCCGACACCTGCGCGCCCCGCGGCCCTGCTGGCAACCTCCTCCCGGGCTGTGCCTGGTCTCCTTGCTGCCGCCCGTCTAGGCCGCAGGGCGGACCGACACGTGGCCCGGGCACCGCTGAGCGAGGCGTAGGAAACCCAGCGTTCCCGGGTCTCGCCGAACTTTCTGAAATGCTCGGAACTGGCTCTGGATTGGGGAAAAGAAACAAAGTAGAGGAAGAGGGTGATTAGAAAGAGAAATGGCCAGGGGTTGGAGAGGTGCCTGGAAATCATATTGGTAATCAATAGTTATTGCAAAACAATCACAGGAACATATGTGTTGATTCTTCTAAGTCTTGTTTTTCCTATTAAGTAAATAGCCTGCTATTTCCGGAACATTAATATTTGAACCTATTGAAAAATTTACTTTTTGGGGTCCAGATTTTTTTTCTTTAAATTTTTTTATTGTTGTGTTAATCACCATACATTACATCATTAGTTTTTGATGTAGTGTTCCATGATTCATTGTGTATAACACCCAGTGCTCCACGCAGAACGTGCCCTCTTTTAATACCCATCACCAGGCTAACCCATCCCCCCACCCTTGGGTCCAGATTTTATGTGTTTTATAGTGTTGATGCCATGATGACTTTGAAGAGCTCCAGAAGTACCAGGCAAAAAGTTGCCTTGATTCACTTTACATTTATCCTATTTACATAATCTTTTTATTTACGAGTGATTAGGTGCTCAGAAAAGATCACTTGTGACATTTATGCTGATAAAACAAACTTTTTTTTCCCCACACATCCAATTTCTAAATTTATGGTGAACCAAATTGCTTGTGTTGGCTGATCAGTACATCGTCTTCCACACAGAAAAATTGAATTTAGGTAAAATATTATAGACTTAATATAATATAGATATCTGTCCTTTTGCTAAAGTGCTTAAAAGCCACATGGCTGTTCTTAGGATAAAATGGAAACACTATCAACATGATGTATGAGGTCTGAAGGATGAATAGTGAAATGCAAGGGAAGGAAACAGGCCTAGGGAGAGCATGTCAAAAGCCTGGGAGTGGGATACAGAAATTCAGTTACACAAGATAGAGTTCTGGAAAGGGAATAGAGAAATCTGAAGTTGGAGCACTAAGCTGAGGCTCTAACTTGAGGGGCCTTTTAAACCTTGTCAGTAAGTAAGGATATTACAATAGGATGGGAATTCATCCTCTAGGTACCTTGCAGCAGTAACTATTAAACTGAATTATAACTGTTTGTTTAATGGTCACCTACACTAGCTGGTGATCTGAGCACTGCTCATTTCTCCTGCCATTCTTTTCTACTCTAGCTGCTGCCCTCCCTCCGCTGCCCAATAGCAGTGTGCGCATGCGCGCACACCCCCCCCCAACCATCCTGAAGTCCTGCCATGCACTGGTACCCCATGGTCTTTTTTCACCACCATTACTAAACACTTTCCCTCTTCTGGCTAAATATTTATCCTGCCTCAGATCTCAACCTCAACCTCACTTTGTTTCAGACTTCCTTCTCTGGTGTCTAGACTAGGTTAGGTGGGCCTGCTATGAATGTGGGATCCCGTAGTCTGTGTATATCTCACAGCATACTTACTTTGATGTCCTGTTTAATTTTAGCTTCGACTCAGGTTGCTTGAGAGCAGGAACTCTGTCTTGTTTACAGGTATATTCCTAGTGTACCTGGCACACGGACCCTAAAAAATGCCAATACTGAAAATGAGTCCATGTTCTAGGAGCATGAGGGGTGATTTCTCCCCTTGGAAATTTTAAGTCCTTAAACTTTTGTTATCTCTGATCTTCATCTAAATCATTCTTTCTAATGACTACTTTTTTTTTTCAGTCTGTGACCTGCATCAAATTGGATTCCCTTGTCCTTCCTCACAATTTCCCACATCTGTTAGTGTGGAGAAAGGATTAACACTGGGGAGTAGGGGAGAAAGATTAAGAAATAGAGGTGCTTGGAAATGGGCTAACTTAAGTGGGTGGGGGTGCCTCCCCTTGCACTTTAAAAAAATCAAGAAACCCTTCAGGCTGAACTTTCCCATTTTGCCTGTCATGCCAGATGGAAGTCACAAAAAATAAGCATTTTTTTCCTCTACAAGCTAGTTTATTGTATTGTGAATATATATACGGAAATGCTATTCTATTAATTTAATGTAAATTAGTCCTACTTCAGTTCTGCTATGAGAGAGGCAGGGTTGATAGTGGAAAGAGAAAAGAATATGATATCAGAAGAAACAGGATTTTGTCTGGCTCTGCCATTTCTGAACTGCATGGCTTCTACCTTTTTGATACTTAGTTTTCTAATCTGTACAGTCAAGCCTTGAACAACATGGGTTTGAACTGCATGCCCATGGATTTTCTTTTTTCCAATAATTACCACACAGTACTGCAAATGTATTTTCTTTTTCTTAAGATTTTATTCTTTTCTTTAGTTTATTGTAAGAATACAGCATAAGGTACATATAACTTAGAAAATATGTGTTAATCAGCCATTTAATCTTATCAGCAAGGCTTCTGATCAACAGTAGGCTATTAAGTTTTTGGGGAGTAAAAGTTCTATGCAGATTTTCAATCTTAGACCCCACATAGTTCAAGGGTCAACTATAATTATTTGTATAATTACAGTTTGTCACAAAATTACGTGAATCAAATATGATGCCTGTGAAAATGTAGAGTATAAGGTTCTATGCAGATGAGTGAATTTTTTATTAAAATTATCCCTTAACCACTCTGTATGTTCTCTGATTGATCAGAGATAACTTAGTCTTCCATTAGGAAATTTTTTCCTGAAATCTGATGTCTCCATTTTATCTCCACAGTATTGAATATTGGTAAAAAACTCTATGAGGGTAAAACAAAAGAAGTCTATGAATTGCCAGATAGTCCAGGAAAAGTCCTCCTGCAGTCCAAGGACCAGATAACAGCAGGAAATGCAGCCAGAAAGAATCACCTGGAAGGAAAAGCTGCAATCTCAAATAAAACTACCAGTTGTATTTTTCAGTTGTTAAAGGAAGCAGGTAAGTGGCTTTCCCGATAGCCTCCCCTTTCACATTCTCTCTGTCACACACATACTCATCCTTTCATGGGGAAATGGCATTATTTGGATTAACAACATGTTGACTACCAGTTATATTTTTTAATTGTTATCGGAAAACAGGTAAGTGGCTCCCCGCACAATCTCCTCCCTTTTGAATATTGCCACACACACACAAGCAGGGCACACTCTGATCTCTTTCATGGGGAGATGACATTTGGATTAAGAACATGTTGTTTGGCAATGTCTCAAAAGGTAAGGTTACTTAAATCAAACCAGGAACTCTTAAATTTCACTACAGCACTTAATTTGGAATTAGTAAGTTCTATCATTTAGTTAAGGAATCTTAACAGTTTGATGCAATCTTTGTCTGGCATACCTATCTCCTCTGTAACTTTTCTCTCCTAGGAAGATGTCCTAGGAGAGACACTTACCTATGAAGGAGTCCTGTTCTGGTATTAGGCAGCTCTAATTGAAGAGTTGAAATTTGGTACCTGCAGTTCTATACAGTTATTCATTGCTCTGTCCCTTGGAGATAAGACAGAATTTCAAATCCCTTTTCCACTTGAAAGCCCTGGAAAGTATTTGAAGATTGCCACCATACCTTCTTATTCTGCCTCAAGCGAGGGATTTGAACTAGATCAAAGATCTCCAGGGTTACCCCCTACTCTAAAACTGAAAGAAGACTATTTCCCATAGAGACATTTATTCAAAAAGACTAGATCAGAACATTCTGTGGAGGGCATTTGGAGTAAAGAAAGGGGAATTAAGATAATGGGCTTTTCTGCAGGGATTCAGTCAATGCTGATTTGTCTGTAGTATATGAAATCTCAGCTAATAAAAGATTCGAGCTCTTTTCCTCCAGTGTAAGAAACCTCATTGCCTTGCATCACTCAACCTTTGAGGCCTCTGGTTCCTTAAGCTTTGTTTTTTACTATCCCAGTTCTAATTTTATAATTTAATAATTTTGTCTCCTTTTACTACCCAGTTGCCCTTTCATTTCTTAGAGCTTCCAGTAAGCATTACAGGCATACCCTGTTTTATTGCACTTTGCTTTATTGTGTTTCATGGATATTGCCTTTTTTTTTGTACAAATTGAAGGTTTGTGGCAACCCTGCCCCTGCATTGAACAAGTCTGTTGGTGCCATTTTTCCAACAACATTTGTTCTCTTCATGTTGCTGTCACATTTTGGCAAGTCTATCAATATTTCCAACTTCTCATTATTTTATTTGTTATGGTGAACTATGATCAGTGATCACAACTTGCTGAAAGCCCAGATGATAGTGTTTTTTAGCAATAAAGTATTTTTTAACTGAAGGTTTTTAGATATCATGCCATCACACACTTAATAGACCACAGTATCATGTAAATATAACTTTTATGTGCACTGGGAAACCAAAAAGTTCATTTGATTTGCTTTATTGTGGTGGCATGGAACTGAACCTGCAATATCTTCAAGGTATGTCCATAATGTCTTAAATTAATCTTCTAAATCCAAAGGGGGATTTAATACCTTAGTTTCCAGTCAGGATAGATGTACCTACCTTCCACAAAATAACAAGGTAATTCAAATTAAATCAATTCTGTCAGTACAGAATGGGTTCTTGAATAGTTTTGCCTCTTTTCTAGTCTTCTGTTGAACACTTTTAAGGTAGTGTGGAGAAAAAAATGTTTGCCAACCTAATTTGTCATCTACATCATAAATCCCTCTATATGTTGAAAGTATGTTGTGATAAATTTAAAGGACCACCCACAGTTCCTAAGTAATATGATTTTAGGATTTTTATTTCAAGGCTTCCTTGATAGGTGGTTTCTCAGTGACTGAGTTGATTGCTGTAGAGAGCGTCAAACTAATTTTAGGTTCCTATTGCAGTACAGATAAGTGATCCATTTTTAACTTGCCAAGTTATTTCATTCTCCCTATACATACTAAAATTTTAAAAAGTTGCTTAATACTATAAATTTTTAACAATAAAAAAAATTAGCTCCTATGTACCCATAGTAGTTATACATAGCTACGGGGCCTTACTTATTTATTTATTTATGTTTTCTTCAAATAATGGAAGATAAGTACAGGCCCAAGTTTTTATTTTCATACTCAGTAAGGGACTATTCAGTGCATTTTGTGGGTTTAATGAAAAGTGAGTTAAAGTGACCCAAATTGTCTCTGTTTGTCCAGGACTTTCCCAGTTTGGACTCTTAAAGCCCTGAGTCTGAGAAAGCTGGGAAAGTTCGCAATCCTAAAAGAAGTACTCCAACAATTATCTTTAAACTACTGTATTGGCGGGGCGCCTGGGTGGCCCAGTCGTTAAGTGTCTGCCTTTGGCTCAGGTCATGATCCCAGGGTCCTGGGATCAAGCCCCGCATCAGGTTCCTGGTCAGCAGGAAGCCTGCTTCTCCCTCTCCGACTCCCCCTGCTTGTGTTCCCTCTCACTGTCTCTCTCTGTCAAATAAATAAAATCTTTAAAAAAAAACAAATACCGTATTGGCACACTTAACATAACAAACTTACTTGGTTCACAGGAAATGTTGAAAGATGTTTTTCAGGTTTTATACACTGAAATTAAGGAAAACTTAAGTTTCAAAAAATTCTTAGATTTGTTTTAGAGGACAGATTAGGAGTTCTGTTGCCTTATCCAATTTTTACTTGCTGATAGTTAAATCAATGCCATGTCTAATTGACCACCAGTGATCTATTTAAAATTGCTTCCTTTATAACCAAGGCTATGTTCCTAATTAAGGTATTTCTAGAAGTTAGAATGGGAAGAGCACCAAATGAGATTTTGTAAATCAGGATTCTGATTTTCTCACTGTCAGTCACAAGCAAAGTATAAAATACTGTACAAATAATAGGTATAAGTAATACTGTTTTTCCATGGAAATAATATACGTGCTACACCTGAGTTATGAAATGTGTGGATTTGGTCTCAATACTTAACCTTTTAAGTCTTAGTTCTCTCACAGAAACCTACCGTAATTACATTTAGGTGTTAATAGTGATAATGGATACAAGTCCTGCAGTTGTTAAACCACAGATGAGGAGCTGGGCTACCTTTATACATGGGTGGCCCAAGGGCTATGTGGGCTGATTAGCTGTCAGACACTGCTGTTGTAATTCAGAGTATGAAGTGACATTTCCTTAGTAATCTTCATAGGAGTCTTAAATTCTGTAAACAGTGAGACATGAGGAGAGTTGTTTTGCTCATCCCCCCAGTCATGAAATTTGTTAAGATGATTAGCATGTATATTAGAAGCAATCATTATATCATCTAAACTGAATCTTTTTTTTTGAAGCAATTCTTTTTTCCTGTACTAGGTCATTACCGTAAATTGATTCTGTACTTTTGGTTCTCTTAGATGTGAGGAAGAGTTTTCCTCTGAGTAAAAGTAACTATTGTTTATATTTAAACAATAGATTGGGATACTAGTCTTTCAGGCTTGGTAGACAAGTGAGCACATATGTCTAATAATTAACAGATCTTAAAAGGAACTCTTAAAGCCAGGCATGTAGTTACCACCTGTAGTTAAGGATTGATTTAAATGATTTGCCTATCCATGAGCATGAGCCCAGTCATTCTTTAAAGGTTAAAATGACCATTTACTTAAACTCTTATTCTTTCCCAGAGTTCCTGTTCATGTAGCATATCACAATTTCCTGTTTCAATTGAATCTTACTGGTCAAACCCAGAGGGAGTACAGAGAAAATAATGCAGGTTTTGAAACTGGTCCAAGCACCATTACTGATTGGCAACATGTCCCAGCTTGTCAAATTACTTAACTTCTTTGAGACTCTGTTTCTTTCACTGTAAAATGTAATGATACCTATCTGAAAAATTTTATGTATGGTTAAATGAGATATAAAACACTTAGAACAGTGCAGGTCTTACATAAATGTAGATTCCTTTCATGTAGGGTAATATATATGTATGTTATTATATGGCAGCACAAAATAATCCTGTAGCCTTTACATTATTAAAACGTCTCCTGGAAACCTTTATGTGTTAACATAATAATGCTCATCTTCAAGCTGCAGTGTTAATACCTAGAATATCTAGGAGTGGAATTGCTGGATCATATGGTTCATGATATATTATAACTATTATTAGGTTATTTTCCAACATCCCCAAATAAAATACCTCCGTCACAAGCTAGCTTTTTATCTTAGTTTTCCAGTAACAGTTTGAGTAAAGTAGAAGGGAAGGGAAGAACAAATGTTTTCTTTGCTCTTGGCCAAATTGGCCGCTGTGTTCTTGCTGCTACCTGTTGGATACTTTTTTTCAGGCATTATTTTCTTTAAATATTAAGAGAAAAGGGCAATCCAAATGTAGGTCTGTACCTGATTATGATAAGTGGATATTTAATACTGGACTGTCAAATATGAGAATTGTATAACCAAATCTAAAGATAATTTAGTACCACTTAGATGAGTTATATGCTTTATGCAAAGTTAGGTAAGCAGTGGCAGGGGAATTTCTCAAAAGTATTTTTTGAATGTATGAATGAATGAATGAATGAATGGTAAAGACAGTGGGACCCAGACTTTCTGATCCACTATGAAATACTCCTAAATATTTTCATAAGCATTAAGAAAGCCATACTAATAATTTTGTTTTCCTACTTCTACTTTTTCAAAAAAGTTAATATACTTTTGATAGTATCACTTAAGGATAACACATTTGGCTAGATAGGGTTTTTGTTTTATTTTGTTTTTTGTAAACAGCAATTTTATTATGCCTCAGATCTAACTTTTTTAATACAATTTTAATGCTTTTTAACACCTTTTTATCAATATGTAGGTATCAAAACTGCTTTCACCAGAAAATGTGGGGAGACAGCTTTCATTGCACCTAAGTGTGAAATGATACCAATTGAATGGGTTTGTAGAAGAATAGCAACTGGTTCTTTTCTCAAAAGGAATCCTGGTGTCAAGGAGGGATATAAGTTTTACCCACCTAAAGTGGAACTGTTTTTCAAGGTAATTATTCTGTGCTTCTGTGTCTTACTATAATATAGCAACAAACATAATTTCAAAGTCAAAAGATTTAAATGTTATTAAAGCTAAATAAAATCTTTAAAAAATAAATTTAAAAATAAAATTAGCAGTTATTAGGAAGAAAAGTAACAATTCAGAAACTTTATTTTATTTTTTAAAGATTTTATTTATTTGACAGAAAGAGAGAGACAGCGAGAGAGGGACCACAAGTAGGGGGAGTGGGAGAGGAAGAAACAGGCTTCCCGCCAAGCAGGGAGCCCAATGCAGGGCTCAATCCCAGGACCCTGGGATCATGGCCTGAGCCGAAGGCAGACGCTTAATGACTGAGCCACCCAGGCTCCCCAACAATTCAGAAACTTTAAGTTTTTAAAGAGTTTGAAGTAAAAGTGAATACAAGGGATCTTTTTATATTCAGATACAGAAAAACTATTACCAATATCTCATAAGCAAAGACATAAAAAGGATGTAGGAATCAGTGGTTATAAATTTGTATTGGTTTTCTTTATTGAAACTGCTTTTTGGGATGCCTGGGTGCCTCAGTCGTTTAAGCATCTGCCTAAGGCTCAGGTCATGATACCGGGTGCTGGGATTGAGTCCTGCATCGGGCTCCTTGCTCAGCCGGGAACCTGCTTCTCCCTCTACCTGCTGCGCCCCCTGCTTGTTGCTCTGTTGTACAAATAAGTAAACAAAATCTTTAAAAAAAAAAACTGCTTTTCTCCCTCTTTGTTTAGCTGTTAAGCATAGTTCTAACGTCAGGAAGCATAGTTCCAATGTCAGGAGTAATGTCTATGTAGCATTTTTATTGTTTCCTTTTTTTTTTTTTTAAGATTTTATTTATTTATTGAGAGAGAAAGAGGGAGATGGCGAGCAAGCATGCAGTGAGAGGAACAAAGCTGGGGCGGGGGAGAGGAGGGGGGAAAGAATCCTAAGCAGACTCCACACTGGGCAGGGAGCCCGACAGGGGGCTCCATCACACAGCCCTGAGATCATGACCTGAGCCGTAACCAAAAGTCTGGACCCTCAACCAACCAAGCCACCCAGTCGCACCTTGTGTAGCTTTTTTTTTTTTTAAATTTAAAGGTTTTATTTATTTATTTGACAGAGCACACAAGGAGGGGGAGCAGCAGGCAGAGGGAGAGGGAGAAGTAGGCTCCCCACTGAGCAGGGAGCCCTACGCAGGGCTCAGTCCTAGGAACCTGGGACCATGACCTGAGCTGAAGGCAGGTGGTCAGCCGACTGAGCCACCCAGACGTACCTGGTATAGCATTTTTAAACAGTGAACTAAAATTGCCTCTCAGCCTTTTGGCCTAGTTCAAATATAATCAGTGAACTGCATACTTTAAAATGTTTATCTTATGGTTATAATACAAATCCAGAATTCATAAAAGAAAAATTTCATGTGAAATTGGGACACTACATAAAACGAATAAAATGAAAGTATTTTTTCACTCATGTCTTTAAATGAAGTCTCTTGAATTATTAAATAATATCCCTAAAGACTTATAGTCTTATATAAATTTTTATTAAAAATGAGGTCAAGAGCAGTGCCTGGCTGGCTCAGTTGGCAGAGCATGTGACTCTTGATCTCAGGATTGAGAGTTTGAGCCCATGTTGGGTGTAGAGATTATTTAAAATCTTAAAAAAAAAGGTGGGGGTGCCTGGGTGGCTCAGTCATTAAGCGTCTGCCTTTGGCTCAGGTCATGATCCCAGGGTCCTGGGATCGAGTCCCGCTTCGGGCTCTCTGCTCAGTGGGAAGCCTGCTTCTTTCTCTCCCACTCCCCTGCTTGTGTTCCCTCTCTCGCTGTGTCTCTGTCAAATAAATAAATAAAATATTTAAAAAAAAAAAAGGGGTCCCTGGGTGCCTCAGTTGGTTAAGCATCTCCCTTTGGCCCAGGTCATGATCCTGGGGTCCTGGGATCAAGCCTTATATCGGGCTCAACGGGGAGCCTGCTTCTCCTCTCCCTCTGCCTGCCCCTCTGTCTGCCCCTCTGCCTACTTGTGCTATCAAATAAATAAATAAAAACCTTTAAAAAAAAAAAAAAGAGGTCAGGAGATTATGAAAACTGCATCCTAGAAAGATTTGGTGGACTAAAGTGTGTTTTGGCCTTCTTACTGTCTCTGTTGACTCATGAAGGAAAAAAAACCACAGACTTTTTTTAAATTAGTTTATAGAGAGAGCAAATTCTTTCAGATTACTTTATCACCTGGAGTAAGTTACTCACCGAATATCTTAAATTTTAAAGTAGCTATTAAAACTAGATAAGTTAAAAATAATTGTGAGTTAAAGGGCATTTCAATGAAAAATTAAGTCTTTAGAGAAAATAAATATTTCTGAGGAATTCATGGTCAAGGAAAAAAGGACTTCAGTTTATCTCAATCAAAATTTTTATTTTTAAAATAATTGTACTCCTATACTTTATTTTCAGGATGATGCCAATAACGATCCACAGTGGTCTGAGGAACAGCTAATTGCTGCAAAATTTTGCTTTGCTGGACTTGTTATAGGCCAGACTGAAGTAGATATCATGAGTCACGCTACACAGGCTATTTTTGAAATACTGGAGAAATCCTGGTTGCCCCAGAACTGTACACTGGTTGATATGAAGGTACAAATAAAATGGAGATTTGATAATAAGATTATAACTGAGAAATGTCTTTAGTTGTAGAGTTTTGAAAACTTTCCTTTGGTGATATGCTATTTCTAGATTGAATTTGGTGTTGATGTAACCACCAAAGAAATTGTTCTTGCTGATGTTATTGATAATGATTCCTGGAGACTCTGGCCATCAGGAGATCGAAGCCAACAGAAGGATAAACAGGTAATGCCTCAGGATTTTTTTTTTATCCTTTTCAAAATCAGGTGAGATAGAGGTGAGTAGGAAGATGGGAGGAAAAGAAAAGGCTACTATTGTTCCATATGATAAGAACCAGAGTTGATTGCTATTTACTTTTAAAGATAAGTATCTCTTATATTTTCTATATCCTGAAAAAAAATAATAGGAACAGTACCTTGTATTTTCAAAATAGATTATTCATTTATTATGACTGTCACACAGAGCAAGTGTCATCCTTGTTTGGCCAATTGAAAACTAAGGTGCTGAGAGGATGGTATCTTCATAATTACAAGAATAAGGGCAGATCTGGAACTCCATCCCAAGTGTTCTGGATCTTACCAGGTTCCATTTCTGCTCTGTCCTATGAAAAGCAAAATTAGGGCAGATGCTCTCTACTTAATACATAAGAATTGTCAGGGCAGTTAATTGTAGTTGCTAGTGTAGAAAGCACTTAAGCTTAAATGAAAATACAAGTGTACTTCACTATCTGAACTTTCTCTGGTCTAATTCAGGAAATGAATTTATAGGTTCGGATACATTTTCAGATATATTCCTTGCTATGCAAGCTTTTCATAGTCTACCCAAAATTCAGAAATTAAATAATTTCAGTTAGCAAGAATATTACTAATAGAATATCTGTATTCTAAACTTTCCATCTTATTTTCTAGTCCTATCGTGACCTCAAGGAAGTAACTCCCGAAGCACTCCAGATGGTGAAGAAAAATTTTGAGTGGGTTGCAGAAAGAGTGGAGGTAAAACTTTTGTAGTAAACCCATGCTGTTCTGTGTTTTTCTACAAGAAAATCTTGCTTCAAAAAGGAAAATAGGGGCATCTAGATGGCTCAGTCGGTTGAGCATCCGGCTCTCAGTTTTAGCTCCAGTCAGGATCTCAGTATCTCAGGATCATGGAGTTGAACCCCACATTGGGCTCTCCATTCACTACAGAGTCTGCTTGGGATTCTTTCTCCCTCCCTCTGCCCTTCCCCCTGCTTGCATGCTCTTTCTCTAAATAAATAAATAAATAAAACCTTTTTTTCAAAAGAAAATAAAAGTGAGAAGGTGCAGTTATTTCTTTTCTCCAGTTTTTTTTTTAATATTATTTTAGAGAGAAAGAGTGGGTGTGTTTGTGTGTGGGCGCGTGCGCAGGTGGGGGGAGGGGCAGAGGGAGAGAGATAATCCTGAAGCAGACTCTCTGCGTTCAGTGGAGAGCCCTGACGCAGGGCTCTGTCTCAGGACCCCAAGATCATGACCTGAGCTAAAATGAGGAGTCATCCACTCAACCAGCGAAGCCCCCCAGTGGTTTAAAAAAAAAAAAAAAAAAGGAACGCCCTTAAGAAATGTACCACCTGAACTATCCTCAGTGACATACTGAAACCCCCTGTTGTAAAACTGGCCAGTACACTCCCAAATTCTGTTGGGGAAACCTAGAGTCCTTGTCTCCTCCCTGTCCCTTACATTTCCTACCCATCTCTCCACTGCTACTCAGAGTTGCATTAGCATAGGTTCCATAAGTAGAGTTCAGAATTAGAACTCCATGTGACATTAAAATGTCACTTTAAGATTTATGGTATTATTGGGGTGCCTGGGTGGTTCAGTCACGACATTAAGCATCCAACTCTTGATTTTGGCTCAGGTCATGATCTCAGGGTCCTGGGATCAAGCCCTGCATCAGGCTGTGCACTCAGTGGGGAGTATGCTTGAGATTCTCTCTCCCTCTCCCTTTGCCCCTCTCCCTGCTCCCCTGTGCTCTCTCCCTCCCTCCCTCTCTCTCTCAAATCTTTTAGATTTATGGTATTATCGTTACTATAATCCTGTAGAAATTAAATGGGATTTATGGTTATTCAAGGGTCATAGCCAGTTTTCAGAACATCATTTCCTTAGGAACATGCATTTTGAATTCTAAGTAACTGACTTAAGGTTTATAATATGATCTCTTTATTTTGGCTGATTATGCCTTAAAATCTCCCATTAAACACAATGGACTAAAATCTTAGGATGAAATATTTTATATTACAGCTTCCTGAATATTAATTAGAAGGGTTGAGTATCTTTGCTTTTTATTATAATAGTAAATATAATTTCTCTGATTAAAAATCTCTTTAAGTCTTAATTATGAAGACCCCTTTTCTTTATATACAGAGGTTATTTTGAAAAATAAATTACATTTTGTCCTGTTTGTCTCTGTCTTGAATTTGGTCTATTAAGAAAGAAAATATTCTGTCCAGTTGTAATTTTACTCTGCTATAGCTTTGTAAACTGATTATTCTTATGATACTCAATTCTATATTTATCTAGTTTTTGCCATTTTCTTTTTCATATCCATGTTTTTCTTTTCCAGTTGCTTCTGAAATCAGAAAGTCAGTGCAGAGTTGTAGTATTGATGGGCTCAACTTCTGATCTCAGTCACTGTGAAAAAATCAAGAAGGCTTGTGGAAATTTTGGCATTCCATGTGAACTTCGGGTAACATCTGCCCATAAAGGACCAGATGAAACTCTGAGGATTAAAGCAGAGTATGAAGGTAAATGTCACATAACTAGAGCATTTCAGGAAATTCTCCTGATTTTGCCAAAAAATTTTAGGTTTGGACTAATAATGCTGAAAAAGAATTTGCCACATTTCCAAGAGGGAAAATGTGATAATCTAGGCTTTCATTATACTCCCAAAGAGTGTAAGATGCTCTAGGCACTTATAAAAGAATGGCTTGGGGAAAAAGAATTGAAAATGCAACATGGGTACACTTGAAAATAATGCAACATTGTGTGTCAACGGCATTCAAGTTTTTTTAAAAATGTTAAAAATAAATGAGAGTAGAGGCCCCCACCCCCCAAAAGAAAGTGAAACATGGAAGGAAAATAAAGACTAGAATGCGTTTTTACCTAATAAGAAGCCCCTGAAGTACTGTTTCTAATATGCTCCAACAGAAGATAAGCCCCACATCAATTTTGGGAGTCCTGAGGTTGAAGCAGCAGATTCTTTGAGTATTGTTAGTGGTCAGCCTTTCCTAGGAGGTATTTGAATGTGAAATTAAGGAACAACTTTAGAATTTAGTATATAAAAGAAATGTCTTGATGGGATAGTATTGATCTAAAATAATGGAGTCCTGGAGACATAACCAAATGTTTCTCAACTGGGAAAAACGTTGATTTGAGTTTTCTTTCTAAAGGTAGTTGTTACAGGAGCATAGTTATTAAGGTTTGGGCCGGGGATGGGGAGAGGGGGCAGGGAACTAGAATAAGTTCCTAGACCTTTTTGTTAAACTTATGAAAGCCTGAACTCTTTCTCCAGAAAAGTGCAAATACATAAAATTTTGGATTCCAGGTTAGGAATCTCTGTGGTAAGAAACAAAGGAATAACTTAAAAATTTATCGAAGAATGAAATATTTAAGAGATATGTTGAAAAGTATATTGAAGGGTAATAAATATTTGGGTACTGTATTTGCCTTCCTTCATTCATACTGTGCCCCTGAACCTCTAGTCTCCATTAACAAGGTCTACTTATACCCTGTTGTTTGAAGGACCCCAGGACAGACACTGGTTCTGGTGGTGTCATTCTTTGTTTCGGTGAGCCTAAGCAGCCATAGTAGAAGGGCCTTTGAGCCATTCCCTCACTAATACTCTGGTACCCTTTTTATACTATCGATCTCAAAGATGGCCAAACTTATTCTTGCTACTTTGTTACTTGAGATATAATAGGTAATGAAGTGTGACATATACTGAATATATATGTAATAATAGTGTCTTATTTATGCTTTTTCTGGAGCCTGCAAATAAAGGAACTGAAGTAGTTAAGACACATAGGCATTTTGTTTTAACCTATCTTAAAATCTCCTTTCAATTCAATTACAAATATGTAATTTCCCTAGGGGATGGCATTCCTACTGTATTTGTGGCAGTGGCAGGCAGAAGCAATGGTTTAGGACCAGTGATGTCTGGTAACACTGCATACCCAGTTATCAGCTGCCCTCCACTCACTCCAGACTGGGGAGCTCAGGATGTGTGGTCTTCTCTTCGACTACCCAGTGGTAAGATAACATGAGTTTTAAAAAGTTGTTTATTAAAGGGGCACATGGGTGGCTCAGTCAGTTAAACATCTCACTCTTGATTTCGGCTCAAGTCATAATTTCAGGGTTATGAGATCACACTCCATGTCGGGCTCCATGAAGAGAGTCCACATGAGATTCTCTCTCTCTCTCCCTCTCCTTTTGCCCTCCCCCCTGCTTGGGCTGGCTTTCTGTCTCCAAAAAAAAAAAAAAAATTGTTTATTGAAAAATTTCAAACATGCACAATAGTAGAGAGAATAACATGAAATCTCATGTACCCATTATTCAACTTTGACATTTAATATCTTATTACATCTGTAGCCCTTTCTGCTGGATTATTTTCAAGCAAACACAGCATTTTATACTTAAATATGCTTCTCTAAGCAATAAGAACTCTAGTTTTTATTATTTTAGTCTATTTTTTAAAGATTTTATTTGTCAAGAGAGAGAGCATAAGCAGGGGGAATGGCAGGCAGAGCAGGCAAGAAGGAGAAGCAGGCTCCCCGCTGAGCAGAGAGCCCAATGTGGGACTTGATCCCAGGACCTCAGGATCATGACCTGAGCCCAAGGCAGATGCTTAACCGACTGAGCCACCCAGGCGTGCCAGAACTCTAGTTTTTAAATCATAATCATGGTGGTGCCTGGGTGACTCAGTCGGTTAAGCATCTGCCTTCGGCTCAGGTCATGATCCCGGGGTCCTGGGATTAAACCCCACATCAGGCTCCCGGCTCAGTGGGCAGCCTGCTTCTCCCTTTCCCTCTGCTGTTCCCCCCACTTGGGTTCTCACTCATGCTCTCAAATAAATAAAATCATTTTTAAAAAAAATCATAGGATACCATAATCACACTTAAGAAAAATTAATGGGTAATTTCTTAAAATCATCTAATTTTCAGTTAGTGTTCAAGCTTTTCTCATCATCTCATTTGTTTTTACAGTTGGTTTGCTCAAATCAAGATCTAACAGTCCTTATATTGCATTTAATTGCTATCTCTCCTAAGTCTCTTTTAATCCTTTTTTCACTTTTGTTTATCCTAAAGAATTTTCCACATTTTGGATTTGGCTGATTATATTTCTGTATGATGTTTAACATGCTCTTCCTATATTTTTTATAAACTTGTGGTGAGATCTGTAGCTAGATCAAGTCCAGATTTGGGTTCCCCCCCCCAAATACATCATTCATGGTTTTGAAGGTTTTTTTAAGTTTTTTTATTAACATATAATGTATTATTTGGTTCAGGGGTACAGGTCTGTGATTCATCAGTCTTACACAATTCACAGAGCTCACCATAGTACATACCCTCCCAAATGTCCATCACCCAGCCACCCCATCCCTCCCAACCCCCTCCACTCCAGCAACCCTCAGTTTGTTTCCTGAGATTGAGTCTCTTATGGTTTGTCTCCCCCTCTGATTTCATCTTGTTTCATTTTTCCCTCTGTTCCCCTATGATCCTCTGTATTGCTTCTCAAATTCCTCCTATCAGTAAGATCATATGATACTCGTCTTTCTCTGATTGACTTATTTCACTTAGCATAATACCTTCTATTTCCATCCACATCATTACAAAGGGCAAGATTTCATTTTTTTCTGATGGCTGCATAATATTCCATTGTATGTATGTGTGTGTGTGTGTATATATGTGTATATATATATATATACACACACACCACATCTTTATCCATTCATCTGCTGATGGACATCTAGGCTCTTTCCATAGTTTGGCTATTGTGGACATTGCTGCTATAAACATTGGGGTGCAGGTGTGCATTCGGATCACTACATTTGTATCTTTGGGGTAAATACCCAATAGTACAATTGCTGGGTCGTAGGGTAGCTCTATTTTCAACTTTCTGAGGAACCTCCATACTGTTTTCCAGAGAGGCTGCACCAGCTTGCATTCCCACCAACAGTGTAGGAGGGTTCCCCTTTCTCCGCATCCTCACTAACGTCTGTTGTTTCCTGACTTTTTAATTTTAGCCATTCTGACTGGTATGAGGTATCTCATTGAGGTTTTGATTTGTATTTCCCTGATACCAAATGATGTTGAGCACCTTTTCATGTGTCTGTTGGCCATTTGGATGTCTTCTTTGCAGAAATGTCTGTTCATCTGCCCATTTCTTGATTGGATTTTTTGTTCTTTGGTTGTTGAGTTTGATAACTTCTTTATAGATTTTTGGATACTAGCCCTTTATCTGATACATCATTTGCAAATATCTTCTCCCATTCTGTTGGTTGTCTTTTGGTTTTGTTGACTGTTTCCTTTGCTGTGCAAAAGCTTCTCTTGATGAAGTCCCATAGTTCATTTTTGCCCTTGCTTCCTTTGCCTTTTCCATGTTTCTAGGAAGAAGTTGCTGTGGCTGAGGTCGAAGAGGTTGCTGCCTGTGTTCTCCT